AATGTCCAACACACATGTAGAAAATAGGGGGGGAATATTTGAAGAGATGACAACCTGAGAATTTTCCGGAATTAGTGAAAGGCAAAGTATGCATATCGGATTTTAAGGGTACAAATAAAATGCTGTAAGAACTACAGTGGAATAAGGAATCCATCTACCTTGTAGAAAGAAAATGAGGAAGCAAAAGCAAAGAGAAAATTTTTCAAAAATAAAACGAGATGGTAAATAATCCAAATAGCAATGTATAAAACAGTATATAACCATATATTTATATTGTGGTCTTGTAATTAAACCTAACTTATCCATTGGAGACCATCAAACTCCATTTTTTTAAAGAATGCATTTTTCTGTGGTTTGCAATAGACACACCAAAACACAGAGGTGTGAAAGTAGAAAATAAAGAGATGGAACCAGTGTCCTCGGGGTAAATTCTAACCAGAGATGGCAATAACCGTTTTAACATCTGGTTCAGCGGATTTCCCAAGGCACTATTCCGAGGAGGAGACACGGTTAGTTCTAATGATAAAAAGAATAAGGAACCAGAAATGTAATTCAGTTTATATACATGTTAACAGGGCCTCAAAATATAGGACCAATATTTTAGAGAGGTATAAGAGAAACTGGCAAATCTATAATTAGGAAGATTTCCATTAAAAATTCTCAGTAATTAATACACAGAAAAATCACTAACAATATATTAGATGTGAAAAACAGAAGTGACCAGCTTACTCTAACAGGTTCTTGGATCCAGCAGTTTAGAGAATGGACATTCTTTTCAAGCACATGTAAAGAAGATCATCTATTTAGCTATAGGTCTCCTCACATTTTAAAGAAACTATCAAAAAGATAACATTCGCTGATTAATTCTAAAATGAAATTAAGAGGTGTTTTTTTTAAAGATTAAAAGTACCCTTTGGAAATAAAATTCTAAATTAACTTTTTTTTTTTTTAATGTTTATTTCTCTTGAGAGAGAGAGAGAGAGAGAACATAAGCTGAGGAGGGAGACAGACACAGAATCCAAAGTAGGCTCCAGGCTCTGAGCTGTCAGCATAGAGCCCAATGTGGGGCTCAAACCCACAAACCACGAGATTATGACATGAGCCAAAATCAGACACTCAACCTACTGAGCCACCCAGGTGCCCTAAATTAACTAACTCTCAAGATAACTGATAATGGAAAAAAGAAAACTCAGCTGAACCATAAGGAGAGCCCATACATCTCAGCTGGATGGTGTGGAGAAGAAAATCTAAAGTTTTTTTTTTGTTTGTTTTGTTTTTAATTTCTAGGAGACAGAGAGAGAGACCGTGTGAGCAGGGGAGGGTCAGAGAGAGAGGGAGTCACAGACTGAAACAGGCTCCAGGCTCTGAGCTGGCAGTCAGCACAGAGCCCGACGCGGGGCTCGAACCCACGAACCGCGAGATCATGACCTAAGCGAAAGTCGGACGCTTAACCGACTAAGCCACCCAGGCACCCCAAATCTGAAGTTTTAAATGCTTATATTAAAAAGGACAGAGGAGATTATAAAGCCAATAGACCAAAACAAGAATTTCCAGAAAGAGAACAATTACAAAGAAGGATATTAAAAACAGAAATGAAATAAAGATAAATGGAAATAAATCCCAAGCTGGTTCTCTGCAAACTTAATCAGAAAAATATTTAAGATAAATACCAGACCTCACAGAAACAGCAGGATTTTTTAAAGCGCAAACTGGACAACTGGGCAGTGTACTTGAAAACTTCACTCGAAATGGGCAGTTTTCTAGAAGCAGCAACACCTATGGTGGGGAGAGAGTAGACCATGTAAAACTACATGGTTTGTGAACCATTGTGTATCCATGTAGAGAAATATAAAATCACATTTCTTTCTCATACACAGTTGTACTTTAGGAAAGATTAGAAATCTCCGTGCCAAACCAGGTAAAGAAAATAATGCACTAGAATTAGTGCCTTGGGAAAGAAGATGTCCTAAATAAAAACTAAAGCATAAGCCATAAAAGAAAATTTGTATAAATTTGATAATGGCAAATTAAGAGTTTCTCTTTACGTACTGCTTTCCATTAAAAGAAAGTTAGACTGCAAACTCCAAGAAGATAAGAATTGCAATATATGAGGATACAGCAGGGGTTTTCACCGTGTAAAGCTGTCCTATCAAAGAGAAGAGAGTTCAGTAGTTGTCAGTCTGTAATACTTACTATGGGCTTACATTTTTAAAAACATTTTCCAGGCAAAATTTACATATTCCAAAGGGCACAGATGTTAAGTGTATAGTTTGAATTCTTTTTGACAGGTGTATACACTCAGGTAAACAGTACCCTAATCAGGAAGACAGCAAGTTCCCTGGAGCCCCTGTTGGTCAGTCTTTGCCCTTCAAGGAGAAGGAAGTCACGCGATATCTGTCACCATAGAAATAATTTTCCCTGTTTTAGAACTTCGTGTAAGTGAAACCATACATATCTGGCTTTTTTCCTTCAACATGTTATTAAGACTGATTCATGATATGTGTATCAGTAGTTCATTAAACTGCTGAGGAGTCGTCTGCTCTATGCATCTACCATGATTTGTACAAGACACTGCCAGGGGCACCTGGGTGGCTCAGTCAGTTGAGCATCTAACTTTTGATTTCAGCTCAGTTCATGATCTCACGGTTTGTGGGATTGAGCCCTGTTTCACGCTATTAGCACAGAGCCTACTTGGGATTCTCTCTCCCTGCCCTTCCCCTACTCACGCGTGTACGCATGTTCTGTCAAACGTTTAAAAAAAACTGAAATTTTTCCAAAGTACTTATATATTATACTGTCATCAGTGTCTGAGCAAACTGTTTTTTAAAAGATTGTGAAGATTATGACATACAGAAGAGAAAATGAAAGTTGTAAACTCATGAGAATCTTAGCCTCACCGTAGTCAGAGAAACGCGTATTTAAAACCATGGCAAACCGCAGTACAGACGTGTGGAAGAGGCTGTAGGCGTTTGAACAGCACTGGTGGCTGTCAGTGACAGAACATCTGGCAAGGTGTAGTCAAGTTTACCATAGACACCTTTCTCCCGCCACCCACCAGTTCTGTAGTGTGAGAAAGTCAAACCTATATGCAAGAGAACTTGCTAGTACTATTCTTCGCAGCTTTGTTTGGAACTGCCAAAACTTGGAACTCACTGAAGTGATCGTTATCAGTAGGGTCCATCCACAAGAAAATGGATGACTTACTGTAAGGGCTAAGCTGTATCTAAAACTTGAAAACACATGAATGGTAATTTCATGGACAGTTTTACAGTAAGATATAAGAACAGTCACAGGAAGTGCTATGCACCACAGCATGGGGTATTTGACCCTAGGGAAAGCAGAAGGGGAGAGAGGCATTGGGAAGCGGTATGGAGCAGGTCTCTTGCCAGATCGGTACTATTTTCCTAAAAAGTTGAGGGGAGTTTAGGTGGAATGAGACTAGCACGGGAAGAGGAAATTTGTCCATACTGGATCATCAGTCTATGAGAGCTGATTATGTATTATAAACTGTGATTCTCTGTGCATTTGAAACATTTAATAAAATGATTTGTTGTTTTAAGGCAAAGTTCTTTGATTACTACTGGTTGAAGATTTTTTTTTTTTTCCAGATTTTTGGTCACTAATACATATTTCTTTCAGCTTTGGGATTTTCTGTTGGTGTACTCTGCCCATGTTTCTGTTGAGGTTAACTTTTTCACGTTGTTTTTAACTCTCTTAATTGATTAAAGATGATAACTCGTTAAAGATCTCTTTTACTAAGATATTTTCAGAATTTCGGAGTAAGTATTTAGATGACTCTGCTTAGAAAAGCCTTCTCCAGTCTGAGATCATGTGTATTTTGTTTTACGGTTTAGGTTTGTATATTTTAATTCTTGATCCTTGTGTAATATATTTTGGAGTATGGAATAGGTTTTGAAATCCCCTCTGTCGGCACGCACTAACTTGAAACAGGCCAGAATATTTGGTTGTGACAATTTTTCTTTCTTAACGATGTTGTCTATTAGTTTTATCCAAGTAATAATACATGCAGATGCACTGAAATACTGTGAGAGGTTATAGCAAAGTAGAGTGGTTCTCTGCCGTACCCGCCCCGTCTCCCCGTCCTCAGCAGCTCCACTCCAGCTGTTTCAGACTTCCGCCGTCTCTTCTTTGACTTAACGCAGCTCCTGCGCTTCTGTGCTTGATCCGTTTTAGGCATTTGTGACTTCCTGTGGTAAGAGGTCTCTTGCCCTGACACTTCTTCCACTTTTCATCCTTCATCCACCAAGTGTAGCTTTGTTTAAATTTGTTTCTAAGTAATTTTTTAAAAGATCTTCGTTATTTTGATGTTTATAATACCTGCTTCTAGAAGTACAGCTAGGCATCAAAATAGACTCTCGTTATAGCTTTTTGTTTTCCTTGAAGGAGATAATTGCTTTTTTTCTCTCGTTTGGAACCTTTGTGCCGATTGCCAGTTCTTTTCATGCCTTCTGAAGGACAGTTTCCCACAAGGTCATTCGCATTACGTGATCTTAGAAGGGCCTGTGTTTCCTTGGTGACTTTCCTCAGAACGTTCCTGCATTTCAGCAGACTGGTCCCTGGGCCTGTGAACAAGCTTGTAAGTTGGGCTGGCTGGTGTCTAGCTTTATTGCTGTGGTGAATGGTATCTTATTTTCACAGTGGGTTTTTTTTTTTTTTTTTTTAATATTCGAGAGACAGTGTGTGAATGGGGGAGGGGTAGAGCAAGAGTGAGACACAGAATCGAAATAGACTCCAGGCTCCGAGCTGCCCACACAGAGCCAACACGGCGCTTGAACCCACAAACTGAAATCATGACCTGAACCGAAGTCGGACGCTTAACCCACAGAGCCGCCCAGGCGCCCCTCCCACTATAGTGTTTACAGATTTTTGTTGATGTATTGGAAGCATATTGGCATGAACATACTTTCTTTAAAAATATTTCAGGATCAATCACTGTTGACATTGATGACGCATGTTGATTTCCTTAACTTTTCTCCAAGTCACGTTTATAACTACTGCACGAGTGTTCACCAGTCAAACCAGGCCCGAGGGGCTGGCGTCCCTCCCTCCAAGTCAAAAAAGGGACAGACGCCTGGGGGAGCTCAGTTTGTTGGCTTGGAATTATACAAACGACTTAAAGAATTTTTGAAGAATTACTTGACAAATCTTCTTAAGGTAAGATGTTTTATGTATATACTGACTCTTTATAATAGAATGTAAAAGAAAATCGTGAACTCATGATTCTAACTCGATTGAATGCTACGTCTCCCACTGTTATTTGTTCATTGTTTTCAGCATTGATGTTTGCATGAAGATAGTTTGCTCTTATTAGTCTTTTACCTGTTATGGAGAGGAAGCTTTCATGAGCCATATTCTGTTTTTTAATTTGTTAAATTAGAAGTTTTTGATAGCTTTATATCATAGTAGTACTTAAATCACTAATCATTTTGTATTTGGGTGTTAGAAATTGATAGACCTTTTCATTTCGAGAGTATAATTGTGAATTGAGAGTACCTATGTTGTATTTTGACCCTAGTGTGTTTTGTCTAAAAATGTACAAATGACCATAAGGTTACCTAACCTTTGGTAACCACATTTTTCCAGTGTGACCTCCTTTTACACACGGTCATGTAGTGTATTTCAGAACTACGATGAAACCGTGCCCTTGGCTAGGATGGATTTCCCTATGAACATCCATGGCCTTCAAGGATAGGTTCATCCTGCTCTGAGCCATTGCTCGGACAATGATAGAGTTTTTCCCCTTCATCATCTCCCTTTTCCTTCCTCAGTCTCCATCCTCTGTAGCAAAGGCAATGTGGTGCCTTCCTTCCATCCAGCCCAGGATGGGCACAGTGCTGCACATACCACATAGAGTGCGTGAAGTACCTCTGTACCTCTACCCCGAGAGGTTTGTGCTCTGTGTCTATACTTCAAAGATTGTTTTATTTTCACAGATGATAGGCAGAATTTTCAGCATGCTTCAAAGTTGTTTTTCTTAATATATTTTACAAGGAAATTAGGAACTTAATATCATTCTAAGCGACCAGAGTTGATTGACCACAAATTGTGACTTAAGATAGCATGATTTCCATGTTCCCTAAACCAGTGTGTTTCTGATGTTTTACTGAAACCACAGTGTCCTTATTTTTATTCAGAACACTGTAAAGTGAACACTGGAATTGATTATTCTTCAGCATTAAAGTGAGGAACAGGAGTACATGTGTTGTACGAAAGTATCAGGAGCCGTGCTCGTTCAGTGATATCTGCATTTTGCAAATGGTCCTATGCTGTAAGCCAGCACGGCCTACCTTCACGTTTGCTGGTTCATTTCTTGTTGTAATTTAACTGAGCCAAACTGGTTGTATCGAGATCTGGTCAGGTTCTCCCGCAGCTGTGGGCTCATGTGTGCACCGTGCATTTGTGGGGCCTCGGTTCTGAGGTTGAGGCCACTGGGGCGAGAGGGTGGCCTGCCTGGGGCCTCCATTCACGGACGGGGCTGCGTCCCTCCTGTGTCAACTCTGAGCACTCCTGCTGCCACATATTTCAGGGACTCTGCAGCTGCAGCGGAGGACACAGTTTCTAAAGGGGAGGATCGACTTTGCCGGCGGCTTTAATACCTGAGGGGAAATCTCAGGTAGATCCTTCACATACAGATTTGTGGTTTACCTTGTGGAAATCTGGGTAAAAATAATTTTGGTAAATGCACATTTTCCCCCTTGAGATCTTGTTAAAGAAGAAATACTGTGCCATGACACTTATTTTTACAGAAAATGTAGCAGATTACTATAAAAACTAGAAATTTATAATTTTTAAGTAAATTTAATGAAGGATGCAGACGCATGAAAAAATGGAGTAGTACTGATCCTGTGGTCTAAATTGCTAATAGGACATTTTAATTAATTTTAATTGAAAATATCAAAACGGCGCTGGTTTTGAGGTGAATTCCTTATTCCTCTTATTCTAAACATTCAAGGTACTTTTTACTTTGTATGTGTATATACGTGTACTTAATAATCCATTGTGAAAAGGTTCCATTTTAAAAGAATTTTCATTAAAATCCTCTCTTCAGTCTGATCCTCTCAAGCTATATTCTTATGAGAATGGGTGTTAATAAGCATGTTTTTGTATACAATATAAAAAGCTCATCTAAAACCAAACACATGGATATATTTGTAATTCAGTAGGTTTGTTTTAGTGAACTTTTAATTTATCATGTGACAAATTAGCCCTTGAAGCTTGAGTTAACTTGTTTTTAGGATGGAGAAGATTTGATGGATGAGAGTGTGCTGAAGTTCTACACTCAACAATGGGAGGATTATCGATTTTCCAGCAAAGTGCTGAATGGAATTTGTGCCTACCTCAATAGACATTGGGTTCGCCGTGAATGTGACGAAGGACGGAAAGGAATATATGAAATCTATTCTGTAAGATCTTTTTAAACACCTTTCATGTGTGTGCTTTTGTAGAGCTACCTCATCTGTCAGTAGGGGAACCTAGGCAAATAATGACGCTATTTTCAGAACAGTAGGCTAATTTCCTTTGCTTTAATTTATCATTAAATGACTCTTAAATATTTTATGGCAGGAAAGAAGAAGGATGAGTAAAATGGGGTTCTGAAATACAACCTCCACACTTGTGCATTTACTGATAAGTTTCTTCCGCAGTTACTTAACCAGCCATCCGGCTTTGCCCGGAACCGTCCCAGTGTCAGCGCTCGATGTCCCCTGTGCTGGAGGTGACAGGCAGTCCAGTCCAAGACTGAGACCCAGGCCTCCCAGACCAGCCCTCGCGGTCTTTGTGGTTTGGGGGACTGTTAGGGGAGAGGACTGCGCTCAGACGTTCTGCCCTCTCACTTTACAAAGTAGTATGATATTGACAGAGTTGAACATTGAAGGTTCTTTTAGACTGCATGAGAGTAGATTATGAAAAGGCAGAATTTGAGCGACTGAAGTCACTCTCATTAATATGTTTCTTGAGTCAGGGAAGCTTTTTCTGGGTCCTCTGGTTTTCAAAGTGTGGTACCCAGACCCGCCACATCATGGCCACCTGGGAACTTGTTAGAAATGCAGGTTACTGGGCCCCAACCTCAACTTACTAGGAACCCCGGAGGTGGGGCCCAGCAGACTGTTGAGAGAGCCCTAGAGAGGACTGTGCTGTGCAGTCTGCTCTGGAACCAACGTCATAGAGCAGTGGGGAGAGGACTCGCAGACGGCCTGTCTGTTCGGAACGGGTTATCAGATGCCCAGACTGTCCTCTTCTTGAACCAGTGTCGTGAAAATGTCAAGTTTTGCATAAGGAGATTATCTCCTTTCCCAAGCATGCTGGTATTAGCAGCACTTGACTGCTTTCCTTTGGACAAACTCGATAAAAGGAAAACATAATGTATCATAGATTCATAACAAACTTATCATTTATGTATATCATTTGTATATATCATATATGTGATATCATTGTATCATTATCAATATATCATTAACAAAACTTTGTGACTTTAGTATTTTGAGTTGAGCCTTTTGTACTTTGCCTTTTCCACTCACAAATGCTTTCTTGAGACTGAAAGTTGTCAGTGTAGGAATCGGTGTAATTGAGGGTGATTTCCTCTTGGATGCCACCTTGACCTACAGCACCACGCATACCCTACAGTAATGTTACAGACTCCTAAAAATCATTACACCTTAATTTTTGAGTGCTGTATTCAAGAATAGAGAAAATAGAAAGAAGTGCAAGTATACTTCATAGACCACAATTTTCAAGATAAGATTGCTTTTATTTTTTTATTTACTTTGAAAATTCATACCTTCTACATCCTTAAATCCTGTGGTTACCGTTTGGAAATATAACATGCTGCTGTAAGTTTTAGCAAAGGCCGCTGAACACCCCTGTCGAGAAATAGTATCTCCTCTGTGTGCTCTTCTGGCGAACCTGTTGAATTCATAAAGTTCAAGCACAGTTGACACAGTGGAACGGTTGGGCACAATGATCTCTCATTGTATTTTCCAGAAGTCCCAGAATGTGGGATGCACAGTATAGAGTTTTACTTTTTTCCTGATCATTCTTTCTTCTTTTTTAATTATAGAATTTTGTTTTCCTTTTGTGTCCACCAGAGGACATAAATTAACTTCATCATTGATACATTAAAGTGATTGAGCAAGATTTTTTTCCCTGATTCTGTACCTTGTTCCCCTGAACTTTGTCTGGTGTACCTTTGGCCCTGCTTTGGTTTTTTTTTGGTTGTTGTTTGTTTGTTTGTTTTTAATATAGTTTATTGTCAAGTTGGTTTCCATATTCACACCCAGTGCTCATCCCCACAAGTGCCCTCCTCCATGCCCATCACCCCCCTTCCCCTCTCCCCCACCCCCATCAACCCCAGTTTGTTCTCAGTATTTAAGAGTCTCTTGGGGTTTGCCTCCCTCCCTCTCCTTAACTACTTTTTCCCCTTCCCCTCACCCATGGTTCTCTGTTAAGTTTCTCCTGTTCCACATAAGAGTGAAGACATATGGTATCTGTCTTTCTCTGCCTGACTTATTTCACTCATTAGCATAACACCCTCGAGTTCCATCCACATTGCTACAAATGGCTTTTCATTCTCTCTCATTGCCAAGTAGTATCCATTATATATATATAAACCACATCTTCATTCATCGGTTGATGGACATTTAGGCTCTTTCCATGATTTGGCTATTGTTGAAAGCACTGCTTTGAACATTGGGGTACAGGTGCCCCTATACATCAGCACTCCTGTGTCTCTTGGGTAAATTCCTAGCAGTGCTATTGCTGGGTCATAGGGGAGTTCTATTGTTAATTTTTTGAGGAACCTCCACACTGTTTTTCCAGAGGGGCTGTGTCTGTTTACATTCCCACCAACAGTGTAAGAGGGTGCCCATTTCTCCACATCTTCGCCAACATCTATAGTCTCCTGATTTGTTTATTTTAGCCACTCTGACCGGCATGAGGTGGTATCTCAGTGTGGTTTTGATCTGTGTTTCCCTGATGATGAGTGACACTGAACATCGTTTCATGTGTGTTTGGCCCTGCTTTCTTACCTTGCCATCTCTTCTTTCTTCCTTCAAAGTGACAAATTATCCAGAGTCAAATTAGAGTTGTCTAAGGCTGTCTTAGTTTAGAAAAATGTTTGGAAAAAAAGATATTTTTAAAGGTATAGCATATCTTTACTAGAAGTTCATGGCTATGGCATTGCATTTTCCCTCCTGCCTTAACTCTTGCATATTAAAGCCTGAAGAGTTGAGGCAACAGAATTTGCACAGGGAAAATCGCCCCCGGCTTGCCTTTCTCCTAAAAAATGAGGCTCTTCCCTTCCAGCATCTTCTTGGACATCACAGTTTCTAATTCTAAAATCTTATTTTTATGCTAACATTACATGAGTATATATTGTTCATGAATAATTAAAACTACTTTTTCTCTTAGAATGAAATCTCACCATTTGCAGCAGCATGGATGAGGCTAGAGAGTATAATTCTAAGCAGAATAAGTCAGTCAGAGAAAGAATTTAGAAAACAAAACAAACAAACTAAGAGTCAAACCAAAAAACAGACTCTTAACATCAGGACAGGCTGATGGTTTCCAGAGGGGAGGGGGGCTGGGGCAGGGCTGAAATGGGTGAAGGAGAGGGAGAGTCCACTTAAGGACGATGAGCACTGATTACTGTATAGAACTGTTGGACACCTGAAACTAATAACACTGTTAACCATAGGGGAATTTAAAAAATTTTTAATAATAAATTAATTTTAAAAATAGTTTTCTCTTAAATATTGCCCATTTTTTGAGTGTGGTAGGAATATTATTTAGTGGAGTTCATTAAGTAAATTAAATTACATAATCTTTTCTGAAGTCTCACATAAACCTAGTCTTATCTGTGGTTAAATTTAGGAAAAATAAAACTGAAAGTATTTATGTTCAAGTGAGTTCCTCAGGAGTTTTTATTTGAGTATTGAATTATTATACATTTGAATTTTACTTTGAGTATTACCACTCTCAACAAACAGCTTAAAATCATGTATAAATTCTAACAGTTCTCATTTTCATAGTGGTTTTCCGGCATAAGTTCTGTGGGAAGTTATAAAAACTTTCAAAAATGCATCAAAGACTCCCACACATGAGTACAAGTAAAATGGGAGATCTGAGTAATTCATGTGTAATAAACTACATCTGTTTAAAGTGTACAGTTATGTTTCCAGTTGTATGCATCCCTGTAACATAAATCACCACAATTAAGATACAGAACTTAACTGAATTTTTATCATCTGTTAATTTACCAAGTAGTAGGAAACTGTGATTAATGGAATTATCTTCATTTGGGCCAAAAAATAAATTTGGGCCAGGCAACAGTGTTAGAGGCTGAATCCACTGACACCCTGTAAGCTGATACATATGGTCTCCTCAAATCCAGGTTTTCTTTATATCTGAATTATTAAAATGTGAGCTGATAAAACGTCTGTACCTTGAAACCTCTTGAAGTTGTTAACTCGGGTGTCTCTGATTTCATCATGATAGATTTTTACCCAGTTGTAATCTAGAAATATTGCTAAATGAGAGGCTGATTCCTGTGACTTCAGTCTTAAGAAAGCATGGTAAAAGTGTAGACATTTTATATGTCTCCTTTTTCTTTTCATCCAGCTTGCATTGGTGACTTGGAGAGATTGTCTGTTCAGGCCATTGAATAAACAGGTACGTGCTTGTGTGAGAGTGTGTGTGTGTGTGTGTGTGTGTGTGTGTGTGTCCCGTTAAACCCCTTACAGATTTCATTTCTGAGGCACAGTCTCCTCACAGGTTTAGAATCCTCAAGGATAACCTGTCACCTTTCATTGTGTGATGTACTCAGAGTCCAAGTAACATACGTGCTGTAGCCTGTAATCTACAGGTCTCTTCCCTTTATCCTTCCTAAAGGTAACAAATGCTGTTTTAAAACTCATTGAAAAGGAAAGAAACGGTGAGACCATCAACACAAGACTGATCAGTGGAGTTGTACAGTCGTACGGTAAACCATTTCCTTTTCCTCTACTCAGAATGTCCTTGTCAAATGACGGTTGTAACAGTGCTCTGACAAATTCATGTACAGATATTTTAGCAGCTGTAAAACTATTGTTTGCATGTACAGGGGCCCCCAAAACTCTCTTTAAGTGAATGTGATTCTGTTTGATTTTACCCATCATAAAAATTGTTTGATCTTTGTTTTTCATGAGAATTTTGAGGAGGTAGACATTTGAGTTGTTTTCTGGTCTCCTGCTGAATTACTGGATATATAACATGATGGAGTGTCATTAATAGAATGGAAAGATGCCCAGAGACCTGTATCAGCTTGAAAAGTTGAGATTAAGCAACTGATGAACTAATGTAATGTTTGAAAAACTTCAGTGGCATTGTCTTTCTCTGAAAGTTTAAACTTCTGGGGAGGCAGGTGAAATCAGTGAAGGTGATTAAACCTCTAGTTATAAAATAAATAAGTCATGGGGTCAGGGGGGTCAGTGTGAGGTACAGCATAGGGAATGGAGACAATAACACCGTAGTAACTGTTTAAGGTGACAGACAGTGGCTAGATTTCACTGTGGGGATCATTTTGTGATGTTCTCAAGCATCAAATCCCTGTGATGGCCTCCTGGAACTGACGGGCTACTGAATGTCAGCTATACTTCAGTTAGGAATCAACGTCATCTTGGGGCGCCTGGTGGCTCAGTTGGTTAAGCGTCCAACTTCGTTTGGTTCAGGTCATGACCTCGCAGTTTGTGAGTTCGAGCCCCGCATCAGGCTCTGTACTGACGGCTCAGAGCCTGGAGCCTGCTTCTGGTTCTGTGTCTCCCTATGTCTGTGTTCCTCCCTCGCTCGCACTCTGTCTCTGTCTCAAAAATAAGCATTAAGAAAAAAATTCGTGTTTATTATTTTTAAGCTTTTAGAGATAGAAGTTTTTTAAATGAACTCCATGATAACTTTGAAGCATGCTTGGCCGTGGGTCAGAATTACTTCCTTTAATGTCTTTGTCTGTTTTTTCTTTCATTGAAATGGTGTACTTTAATGCCAGTGAATAACAGGTTTACCTACTGCCCTGCCATTTTCCATTTACCTTTTAAACATAACTGAAGCTGAATGTTATACATGGGCGTATTGTGTAAAATGTAACAAAAACTAGGGTAATTGAAATATAGTTCCTATCTGTTTCTAGTGGAATTGGGGCTAAACGAAGACGATGCATTTGCCAAGGGCCCTACGCTGACAGTGTATAAAGAGTCCTTTGAATCTCAGTTTTTGGCTGACACGGAGAGATTTTATACCAGGGAGAGCACTGAATTCTTGCAGCAGAACCCAGTTACTGAGTATATGAAAAAGGTAAGCTTAAATAATGCGCATATGGTCACCTTAAGCTAAAACGGTTATCGCCGCCCCAGTGGGTTATTCTCTTTCACGTGTGCAGCTCTTTCCACAGGTCGTTTCCTGGGCGGTGTCCCCTGCAGTGTCCGTAGCAGGGACAGATGCTCCTCCCAGCGTACCAGGGAGCTTTTAGAACTTCATCTGACCGTCGTGGCTCCGTATGCTCTGCAGTGCTAACTGTCATGGCTGTGTGGCTTCTGTGTTTTGAACTGGCTCTCCTAGCACGGATAGCTGCATCTAATGGAAGCCGCAGTGTTAGGCCAATGAGAATTTTTAAAGAAAGAGCTATTGCTAGATTTGCAAACTTTGCGTTTCTCCGTCTGAGTTGTTCCCTAGCGGTCTCCCGCACAGCCTTCAGGGCGACAGCAGAGGAGATGGTTCTGAAACCACAGGATCCAAGACGGGTCGTGAACTGTATCTAAACCTTTTTCAGTACTAAGTGGTGTTCCAGCGAAGTTCTAGTGTAATCTGTTTGTTCTCTTCCTCGGGAATGCAGGTGTATCCTGGACTTGGCGAGGAGTTACAGAGCTGAGGAATCAGCACACCTGTTCTGTAGAGGGTCGGTGTGGTCTCAGGCAGCTGCCTGGCTCTGCTTCTGTGGGGAGAGCAGCCACGGCAACACGTAAACAAATGTGTGCGGTGTGTTCCAGTAAAATCTGACCGGGACGCAGGATTTGGCCCAGAGGCTGTAGTTTGCTGACCCCTGACCGAGATGCACAGGGATGTTTCCAGGGAGGCTGGGCTGCCTGTGCCCCATGTCTGCTCTGTCACTGCCCCTCACCGCACGTGCCGCGATCAGTGTGGGGACAGCAGCAGCACACCTCTCGGGGTGCACAGCCCCAGCCGGCTTGCCTGTGACCTGCTGGCTGCATTCTCCCATAGCGCCTCGTGCTCGTGAGGAGGCTTTAGAAGTTTGTGGTTGAACGTCCTTGACAAACAAATTCCTGATGTCTCCAAACCTAACAGAAATGGAACTCTTCCCAAGTATTATCCTTGGAATGGTGATTGCCTTGTGTACATCGGGGGGTTAAATTAGCTTCCTTGTGTGCCAGCCTGGAGCCCAGCTCTTGCAGCATCAGTGGCCTGACGACGCACTTCTGTTTTCAGTCGCAGTGTTGCCTGTCATTTCAGTGTTTTAGTTTGGCAGTGTTGTTTTCATAAACACATCTTGTCTTGAACTCTCCTGCGTGTGGTGGTGCTTTGAAAAGTGAAGTCTTTTCTCAGGGTGCCCGTGTGCCAGAGCGGCGGTGATTCCTGTCACCGGCAGTGCCCACCCCTGGGGGTAGTACGCTGTGCAGGGGAGTCTGCTCTGTAGGCCAGACGTGGGAGCACCCCACCCCCCCATCTCGCCAGCAGGGAAGTCTCCTGTTGGATCAGGCCTGGAGCCACAGGCAGCACGCGGAGCAGAGATTACCAGTGCGAGCCCTGCCTTCAGCCAAGCAGCATGCTTCCTGCACCCCGGAGCTCTGAGAGGGGCTTCCTTTCTGGGGGTTACAGAGTGGGCCCAGGTCCAGCTGGATCTTAACCAAACTTGACTTTGATCACATTCTACAGGCGCATAACCTCGAGAATCCAGAAGCATAAAATGTGAACAGTTCTCTTACCTGTAGCCTTGGGCTGCAAGTCTCATTTTAAATCCCTGGGGAGTTGACCTTAACCCTTCTGGTCCTCCGTTTCTTTCTCCCTTCCTCTCTTTCTCACTTTGGTTTATTTTTGAGAGAGAGAATCCCAAACGTATATGCAGGCTCTGACAGTGCAGAGCCTGGTATGAGGCTTGATCTCATGAACCGTGAGATCAAGACCTGAGCTGAAATTAAGAGCGGATGCTTAACTGACTGAGCCACCTAGGGGCCTCTGGTCCTCGGTTTCTTCATCTGTAAAATGAGGGTAATAATTTTTAATTAGTTTATTTTTAAGATTTTATTTTATTATTATTATTTTAACATTCAGTTTTGAGAGACAGAGACAGAGCGTGAGTGGGGGAGGGGCAGAGAGAGAGGGAGACACAGAATCTGAAGCAGGCTCCAGGCTCTGAGCTGTCCGCACAGAGCTCGACATGGGACTCGAACTCACAGACTGCAAGATCATGGCCTGAGATGAAGTTGGACGGTTAACCTACTGAGCCACCCAGGTGCCCCTGGTCCTCAGTTTCTTCATCTGTAAAATGGGGATAATAATTTTTCATTTGTTTTTAAAATTTTATTTTTTTTTTAATTTTTTTTTTAAATTTATTTCTAGGAGAGAGAGAGAGAGAGACCGCGTGAGCAGGGGAGGGTCAGAGAGAGAGGGAGTCACAGACTGAAAGAGGCTCTGAGCTGGCAGTCAGCACAGAGCCCGACGCGGGGCTCGAACCCACGAACCGCAAGATCATGACCTAAGCGAAAGTCGGACGCTTAACCGACTAAGCCACCCAGGCGCCCCTTAAAATTTTATTTTTAATAGCTCAGAGCCTGGAGCCTGTTTCAATCTGTGACTCCCTCTCTCTCTGACCCTCCCCTGCTCACGCTCTCTCTCTCTCTCTCCTAAAAATAAATAAAAAACATTAAAATAAATAAAATAAAATAAAATTTTATTTTTAACTAATCTCTACAACCAACATGGGGCTCGAACTCACAACCCCAAGATCAAGAGTCACATGCTTCACCAACTGAGCCAGCCACATACCATGTAATAATTTTTATTTTGTAATATATACATTTGGTGCTTGGTGAATAGTAAACATGATATAAGCATTCATCATTCAGAACCTCCGATAGATGCCCAAGATTATGCAAAACCACAGGATAAAAGGTGGCACATTTTATTCAGTAACTTAAGGGGAAATTATATTTATATTAAAACAGTCTGTCAGGAAATAGTATACAAAACTCCTGAACAATATTGAAATAAAGCATGAACCTTTAAAAAATATTCTGCTTTTAGCTGCTCGTTTGGGCTATGTATGCAAATTCCCTGAGGGGTCTATGTTCCCTTTTCTGTGGGTTTAGGGATATTTTAGTGGAAACATCGGAGAATCTTCAGTAGGGATGGCTTTGACCAATGAACGATCCAAAGCCACATTAGGGTTTTTAACACATCCTGCCGTCTCATGTGATTGAGACTAATGTGAGCTACAAAAGATTTGTTGACTATTCTCAGATACTGACGTCAGACATATACACACACAAGCTTTAAAAAATAAAATATACAGGGGCGCCTGGGTGGCTTAGTCTGTTAAGTGTCCGACTTTCGCTTAGGTCATGATCTCGCGGTTCGTGGGTTCGAGCCCCACGTCGGGCTCTGTGCTGACTGCCAGCTCAGAGCCTGGAGCCTATTTCGGAGTCTGTGTCTCCCTCTCTCTCTGACCCTCCCCTACTCACGCTGTCTCCGTCTCTGTCTCCTAGAAATAAAAAAAAAAAAAAAAAAAAAAAAAAAAAAAAAAAAAAAATATATATATATATATATATATATATATATATATATACAGTATTTCATTAATCTGCTTTTTTGGAGGGGAGGTCTGCTTTCCCTTTTGTTTTTACTGCAAACCCACCCTAACAAAATTAACAAGGATAATCTTTAACTGCTTTATTTTATTTAGTCATTTTGAACTTGGTCCTGGGGGTGCCTGGGTGGCTCAGTCAGTTAAGCATCCTATTCTTGATTTCAGCTCAGGTCATGATCTCACGGTCCTGGGATCAAGCCCCAAATTGGGCTCACCACAGAGAGCAGAGCCTGCTTGGGCTTCTCTCTCTCTCTGCCCTTCCCTGACATGTGCTCTTGCACTCTCAAAATAAATAAGCTTAAAAAAAAAGAGTTGAAGCTATCACTGAGGCCCCTCTGTCCTCTCATGTTTTTTAATCACTCAGGTGCCAGTTTGTTCTCTCCTTCCTTCCGGGCCCCTGCGGGACGGAGGGTCCTGTGGTGGAATGCTGCTGGTTCCACAGTGCCCGCGGGGGAGAGCCACTTCCCCCCTGCAGAGACTGAGCCCACAGTCACCCCAGAGCCTTACCTTTCATCTGGAAAGGGGTAGAAGTTTGTTTTAGGAGAAAGCAGAGATTGACAGAGGAAGTTTCCGCTGCCCAAGGGGATTATGTTTTTTCCTAGGAAACACGTATAACTTCAAACAGAAAGAGAAGTGCTTTTTGGTGTGTATGTCCTGTATTATTACATCACTTGCATTCCTGAGGTAACAGGCTCAGTGAACATTAGATCTGAAGCTGTATGTGCCTAACGTAGAACTTCTACGTTAAAGCACAAAAGATCCTGTATGGTTTAAAATAACTTCATAATCAGAAAAGATGCATACAGTAACTGTAGGCTTTTTGGAAAATAAAAATAACATAAACCTGCAAGCTTGGGACACTAAGTATATATATATAACGAGATAGGAATAATGCCTATAGGTTTTTTGGTAACCTGTTCCCCCCACACTAATTTGCTACATTAATGTATTTTATAGTTATTTTACTGGATAATAGTATTCCATTAGCCAAATATGCTATGCTTTTGTTACCTCTTACCAGAAACTTTGGGTTTTTTAAATTTCATTTCTTCTTTTATAAATTGTTCTTTTTCTTTCACGTTTTTTTATTTGGATGAACTTAGTAATTTTACAGAGATCATTCTCTGTTAAGGACATTGACATTCTGATAAATACTACAGATAATTTCCAGATTTGTTGTTCACATTTGGCTATTTGGAATGTGTAATAAGGTTCTAACTTCTGTTGTTTAAATAATCATTTCATCGTTCATCATTCTTGACAGCATAAATCCAGCCTGCATATTTTGTTTCCTGGCTCTTGAGTATTTATTCTTCCAGTTGAATTTTTGTAGATTTCTCCAAAATTATACCAAATCTAAAATCATTTTGGAAAGTGTGGCACTTTTATAATACAAAGTATAGTTTTTCTCTTTATTCAGATCACCTGATAAATTTGAGGTTATTGAAATTTCATCCTTGCTTTGATAATTTAGTGGTTCCTCAGTGCTACCACACGTTTCTGGTGATACATTGTAAAATATACAGACTTCTGTTTACTCTGCTGCTCTGTTACAGTACATCTTTGTTTTCTTTTCTTTCTTAAAGGGAATTGTAAGAAATTGAGATGCATAAATAATCCAATAATTACAGAGGTATATACTCAATGGTTGGCCAGAGAAGGCCATGATGTTTTTCCTTAAAATTTGTTTAAAAGTCCAATTACTGTTAACCATGTGGTCATTCCAGGGAATATATTCACGTGACTCTTGACTTCAGGTAGTTTTCAGTCAAAAATAGGGGTTCTGAACATGATATCCATATATAAGGGAGGGTCCATAGGTATCTCAGAGTATTGAATAGGGACACTCCTACCCCCAGAAGATGAGATATCGCTTATCTGAAGGAAGGTAGTTGATGTAAACACATCTGAACTAACAATCTTGTGAAGTCATTTAAAAAGGAGCCAGAGGTGGAAGTCTGTTGCAGAGAAAACAGAGCATATCAGTGACCACTTAAATGTGGTTGGGATCCACCTAAAATCATAGGATCCCTTCCCTTAGTGAATTAGAGCTTGTGAGTTTAAATTGCTATTATTTGTGTAACAGCCCTTTAGAATGAATCCGGACGGTTCACCTGAATTAATCCCTGCAGGCAGAGGCCCGTCTGCTCGAGGAGCAGCGAAGAGTCCAGGTGTACCTTCATGAAAGCACACAGGACGAACTCGCAAGGAAGTGCGAGCAGGTGCTCATCGAGAAACACCTGGAGATTTTCCACACGGAGTTCCAGAATTTGTTGGATGCTGACAAAAATGAAGGTGAGCCACTCAGACTCCCTCCAGATAGAGGTTCTTAGGATCTGCAGTCTTGAAGTTGTTTGAAATTCTATAGAGTTCCAGCTAACAGCATCACCAACAGCCATTTCTGAAGAGATTCATGTGTGAGTGAGTATGCGTGGTTGTGCACCGATTTCTGAGCTCTCCACAGTGTTTTGGGTAGGACTCTGGGAGAAGAACATCCTTTAATCAGTTGGTGTTGTTTGGAGGATGACTTGTCTCATATACTTTAGCATTAAATGATGCTCCCCGTGACTTCTCCTTGACTATTTTTATCTGGAAAATTTTTCAAGATGCAAAGGCTTGTATTTTGTGAAAGTATTTCTCTTCCCCGTCAGGTTTTACTGGGATATACAAGGAGCTCAATAAAAGATTGATGTTTGGATTCAGAAGTTTTCTCTTTGGCCTTCATAAATTAACCATGGGCCATACATATATTAAACAAAGAATTTGGGGGCCCTTTTGTGACTCATTTGTTTGTATAGTTGAGATAGATACTCATAAATGCTCCTTAAATTTATTCATCTTTTGAAATCAATATTTGAGTGCCTGTTACGTATCTACCATAAATAATATCTCAGTCTTGAGATTTGAGGAAGTATCTGATACAGCTCGTATCAGATAAAAAGATTCTTCTCTGGTGTTAGACGTTTCTCATAGTAAAGGGAAAAATAAACTTTAACAAGAGGAAAATATATTGTTGTTACTTTCAGTTAAATATATGCATACTAAATACAAAATACTCGGTCATAATTAATATGATTCTGATTATTTTGAGCGAAAAACACCATTTTATCTGAAGGTGTCTGTCATCACAGTATATGTACGTACTTAGAGGAATGGATGTGCAAGCTTGTTTCAGTGCATAAAACGTGGTACTTTCTTCTTTCAGATTTGGGGCGCATGTATAATCTCGTATCTAGAATCCAGGATGGCCTAGGAGAATTGAAAAAACTTCTAGAGACACATATCCACAATCAGGGTCTCGCAGCAATTGAAAAGTGCGGAGAAGCTGCTTTAAATGTAAGTACCATTAACTGAAAGTCAGTCTGACTCCACCATTTCCACACACGAGCTGCAGGTTTGTGTCGTGCACCTCTGTTTACCAGTCCAGGCGGTCAGATTTTCACTAGAACGCTCGTAGGGAACCTTGTTTTAATGGGTTTTTGTTCGTTTGTTTTATTTTTGAGAGCGAGAGCACGAGCAGGGATAGGACAGAGGAGGGAGACACAGAATCCAAAGTAGACTCCAGGCCCTGAGCTGTCAGCACAGACCCAGACACAGGGCTCAAACCCACCAACCACGAGATCATGACCTGAGCCAAAGTCGGACGCTTACCCGACTGAGCCACCCAGGTGCCTGTCTTGGTGTTTTAAAGTAGAAAGTTGACAAACCTCTTTATTTAGTAAACTCCTCCTTAAACTCTTCTCAAGCACTTTTTAGGCATTAAGGATGTCATTTCTTGATTTTTCCCCCCTCTTCATTTCTTCTCACACTTACATTCCTTGCACTAGAGGAGAAAAGGTCTTCCATAGAATGAACAGGCCAAAGCCTCCTAGACATGTGGCTGTGGCAGCCACAGACCACGGCTGCAACTGTTCGGGACTTGGATCAGAGGACGACCCTCCAGTGGATGGTCACAGGGCTGTCTACCCTGGGTAGGCCTCGACATGTGTAGGATTTCTCAGGAACCTCCCCACCGCTGCCCCAGGAGGTTCATGGAACATTCCTGCCAGCTGAGCTGTGGTCCAGGGCATAATTTTACATAGGGAGTACCTTGTATTTCTAAAATATGAATGGGTGAGTTGTCTTTGGGTTTTGGCCCTCTTGTGAACTTCAATTTTGATAGTGTTTGGGAAAATTAATGAAGAAGAAAAGCTTCTAGAACATGGTTCTTATATCTGAATCAGAAGACTCTGATTCTATTCTTTATGTTAATTATTTTTGACAATACTGTCTTTAATACATTTTTTAAAATCTTCATTTCCCTGTTAACTTTGCAAGATTCCTTTTAAAGTTTATTTTATTTTGGGGTGCCTGGATGGCTCAGTTGGTTGAGCATCCAACTTCGGCTCAGGTCATGATCTCACGGTTCATGGGTTCAAGCCCCACGTCCGGCTCTGTGCTGACAGCCAGCTCAGAGCCTGGGGCCTGTTTCGGATTCTGTGTCTCCCTCTCTCTCTGACCCTCCCCTGGTCACGCTGTCTCTCTCTCTCTCTCTCAGAAAGAAACAAAACATTTTTAAAAATGTAAAGTTTATTTTATTTTGAGAGAGAGAGAACATGCATGCACATGTGAGCAAAGGAGGAGCAGAAATAGGGGGAGAGAGAATCCCAAGCAGCCTTCTGTTGTCAGCACAGAGGCCAACGTGGGGCTTGATCCCACAAACCGTGAGATCATGACCTGAGCTGAAATCAAGAGTCGGATGCTTCACCAGCTGAGCCACCCAGGTGCCCCTGCAAGGTTCCTTTTAATGATGGGGCTGCTGCCTCCATTTTAACACATCCATGAATTATTAAAAGGATGTATGTAAAACCCCTTCCTTTAGGTTGAAAAAATAATTAATTTCACACTTGCAAGACGTAAGGGAAGTGGCTTAGTAGTGGGCGTTGTGAAGGAGACCTCTGCGTGTCAGGAGGAGCCTCAGTGTGATGTTCCAGCATCAGGACATAGGGTGTTGGTGCTGTGGAGCCACTGTCCCCACAGCATGACTGAGTCACGTCCCAGCCCCACTTGCGGGACCTTACTGCGGACGTGGTTGTCCACGCCTGTCAGTTGTTGTTATGTGATGATGATGATGATGACAATGACAATGACTGCCTCATAGGGTTTTTGCAGACACGTAATGCTTATAAAGTGCTTATTAAATCTTGGTACGTAAGTGTTAAGTGCTCAGCAGTGATGACAGTTTTATTTAACTCATTCAAAAATCGTCCTTACATCTTGATGACCTTATTTCCAAACTGAATGTTCCCTTTTAAAAGGCCTGAAACCCATACCCACATGTACTGTGATTCAGGAGCGGCCCACTTGAAGAAGGCCTCTTTTCAGCGATGTACAGGGTTTCCACCGTAGTTCATTCAAAACTCATTTGAGCCTCATGAGCAGCAGAGCCAAGTAAATGAGTTCTTTTCCTTGAAATGAGTTAAGTGAGGAGTCTTATTTTGTCAGATGTGGGTTGGGATAGCAGCTGCGTGAAGCAGAGTTGGCTTTCTGATGTGAACCATTGTGGATCGTGTCTGACGTCTGTGCTGCGGGAGGGCTGCAGCGGTCCGTGATCCGGAGGAACGCGGCAGACTGTGCTCATGGGGATGCTGGGGTGTCCCTCGTGGGGTGCATCCTCTCCAAAGTGAGATCCTTTCAGGAGAAATAATCGCACTGCAATTCTAAGTACTGTTGTTTTTCTTTTTGATATGATGACCTGCCTAATTGACTTGGTCAGTGAATCTTGGAATCTGGCATTTACTTTTTCCTTTTTTTAAAATTTTTTTTTAATTTTAATGTTTTATTTATTTCTGAGAGACAGATTGACAACGTGAGCAGGGGAGGGTCATAGAGAGAGGGAGACACAGAATCTGAAGCAGGCTCCAGGCTCTGGGCAGGCTCTCAGCACGGAGCCCAAACCCACGAACTGCGAGACCATGACCTGAGCCTAAGTCAGACGCTTAACCAACTGAACCACCCAGGCACCCCATGGCGTTTACTTTTTCATGATCAGTTAAAGCAAAAGTATAGTTTCTAAGTAAAATTGTTTCTTCATATGTGGAACCTTCATCTGTCAGCAATAAACAGCACAAATAAGCCATTCTTACCAGCAGTTATATTTTACTGAAAATTAAACCTTTTAGTTTTTTAAGTTTATGTATTTTGAGAGCGAGCGCGTGCACTCGCCCTCACTTAAGCCCGGGAGGAGCAGAGACAGAAAGAATCCCAAGCAGGCTCCACACTGTCACTGCAGAGCCCAACATGGGGCTCAAACCCACAAACTCTGAGATTGTGACCTGAACCAAAATCAAGAGTTAGCTGCCTTCAGAGAAGAGTACCAGCCTACCAAAAAAAAAAAAGTCAGACGCTTAACCGACTGAGCCACCCAGGCGCCCCATAAATTAAACTTTTAAATAATCCTTTTATTACTTGAATGTAAGCCAGTAATTCGCATGAATTTAAAAAACAAAACAAGGTTTTCCCCCATGGAGAATAATCTATGTAGCTTGATGAATTTAGGGCATCTGCTTTAACTTTCAGAAGTCAGACGTTTCTTTTTTTAAGTACATTATTGATCATGAGATAACATGTTAATAATTATAATTATTTCTATAGGAAGGAACTATTTTTATATTGAACTCATGAAACTGGTTTTCCAAGTTCTTGTGAAGAAAATTGTTTTTTGAGATAGCAAATATGTTCTCTGTTTTCTGCAAGAGTTTTTCCTGAATTTCCATTTTATTCTTCTATTTCTTTTTTTTTCAATGTTTTTTATTTCTAGGAGAGAGAGAGAGAGAGAGACAGCGTGAGCAGGGGAGGGTCAGAGAGAGAGAGTCACAGACTCTGAAACAGGCTCCAGGTTCTGAGCTGCCAGTCAGCACAGAGCCCGACGCGGGGCTCGAACCCACGAACCACGAGATCATGACCTGAGCAAAAGTTGAACGCTTAACCGACTAAGCCACCCGGGCGCCCCTATTCTTCTATTTCTTAAGTTTTCAGTTGACTCATAATTTTGCAGTGCCATCTAAGTGGTGCCTGAATTTCCAGAACCTTCCCCAGACTGCTGCCTTTATGCACCAATGATGGGAAAGCCCACAAAGCTTGAAGAAGCTCACGAAAGAGCAGGTGTACCCATTGCTTAACTCAGCACATAGTAGGTGCTCAAATACCTATTGTAAGAAAGAATACAGCTGCTTAAAATAAATAATTTTAGGGGTGCCCAGATGGCTCAGTCGGTTGAGCGTCTTTTCTCTGCCTTCCCCCCTCTACCCGTCTCCCCAACTTGTACCCTCTCTAAAATTAAATTTTAAAAAAGACAACTTAAGGTAGGTATTTTTATCATGAATGTGGTAAATGTAAATGATACTGTAAACCACACTATGGTGGTTTTCCAAAGCCCACTGATGCTCAAGGAAAAGCAGCAGATTGTTTGCATTAGTTCAAAAAAAAAAAAAAACTATTATACATAATTTTAAGTGGGATGTAATTACTTTTTTTACAGTTTTTAAAGTTTGAAGATTCTTGCCTACTGAGTTGAATCATAGTATATGAAAATCATTTACAGTGGCCATATTAAATGCCCTACAAGGCACTGCTTAAATTATTTTTTTTTAATGTTTATTTTTGAGAGACGGAGCCAGAGCACGAGTAGGGGAGGGGCAGAGAGAGAGAGGGAGACACAGAATCCCAAGCAGGCTCCAGGCTCTGAGCTGTCAGCACGGAGCCCGACGCGGGGCTTGAACTCACAGACTGCGAGATCATGAGCTGAGCTGAAGTCAGATACTTAACCGACTGAACCACCCAGGCGCCTCTTAAATGACTTTTTAAGGACTAAAAATTCCTATGCTTCCGTTTATACAAAACAAAACAGGTCAAGCTTCTGGAGAGAAATTTACTTTGGACTTCTGGGGGACTTCTGCTTTAACTGGCCCTGAAGAAGTATTGATTAGAAAATTAGATTTACTACCAATTAGTTTGGCTTAGACTGGAATTAACACCCGGGCCAGTGTGCCGTTGGGCCGGCGGTCTGGGTCAGGGAGCTTCAGACCGAATGGGGCCGAAGCAGAGGAGTGAGGGCCCGTCACACCACCTTTGCGCGGGGAAGAGCTCTCTCCGGCTGCGGCGTGCTCGCGACTGAGGACACTGCCAAGTCACCAACACGCTCGCTGATTCGCGGGTGACCGCAGCGAGATGCGCGAGCATACCGCGTTGGGCACCACCAGGACTTGGGGAACCTTGTACGCAGAAAATAGCCAAGGATGGGACTTAAAACTGGTGTAGAGCACGGCAGAGAACCACCTAAACCGTTTGTAAGTAGA